ACTCGCCAAGGTGGGTGCGCGTTCGGAGCTGGGTGCTGCATGCGGCCATTTCCGTTGCCTTGGGTGCTCAGGCAAGAGGCGTGTGAAGGAAGACAGATGGGGGGACAATGAATGTGGCTAGGAAACTGATGTGACTTGCTCAACATTTAGACAATTAATTGGTATTTTTTAACATATAAATCCATCAGTTGCAGAACGATGGGAGGAAGGCAAAGAAGGGATGAATAATCGGAGACCAGAGACAACATCCAAAGGCTCAAATGAAGACACATGTTACATCTGACGCAAAAAAAAAAAAAAAAAACAATTGAGGTGATGCATGTGGCTGCATCAGGATTGATGAGAGAAATAGTAATCAATGATCTTTAGTGGGTTCCGTCTATATAGGTTATTATATATATGTAGATATGTATAGATATAGATAATTGTCAGGTCCGGCTGCTTCAACGTACGTAACTCGGCCGAACCGGACAACCGGCCAACGTTAACGTCTGATTGCAATTGCAATATTGCTTTGTCGTCGTCGTCACTTGGCTCGTCCCCATGTGAGCAAGTTCCAAATGTGCCATGTCATGCGCTAGCGGATGCGTATGTAGTCCATGTATTATATTGATCGGTCGATCGTACTTTTTTTAGTTTTATTTGCGAAACGATCGGCCGTCGATGCATGATTTCTAGTACGTATAGAAAGTCAAGAACACTAGCGTTTTGGTAAACTTGGAAGTAACATTAAGTATTAACTTAGTGAATGCCACTATCATTCTTTTAGCAGAGCGAATGATATGATACCTCGTAATATGGATTGCTAAATCTTGCTACTAATTTAATTAACTTAATGAAATGATATGATATATGGACCGCCTCTAGATAGAAGGCCACGGCAGCAATATGATTCGACTGCGATCGTATCTTTTGATTTGAATTCAGGATCTTCTTCAGGGTCTCACTCTGTTTCTTTGCTACCTGTACCTACCACTCCGTGCTTGTCTAATTTTTAATGTTGTTTAAACTAGTAGCAAGAATCTTTTCCTCCCAGGTTATAGGAATCTAATCTACCTCGGGTTTCGTCGCTAGCTAGCTCTTGTTTTTTTTCGTCGATGTCCTGCCTTTTGTCATACGTATTTATCGTGTTCTTGCCTGCTTAGTCGATTATATTATCTTATTACTGTACGGTAGTATCTGGACATGCTAAATAGTGTGAGATAGTTACTAGCGCTAAGATAACTTCTTCAAAAATATTAACTTTTAGCATATAACTCATAATTAATATAAATAGCTACACATGAGTACATGACAACTTCACGTGATTTTAGAGTGTGAGCATGAGATTAGTTCTTGGTCAAGAGGTAGCTTTTTACTCTATTTTATAAAAAAATATGCTTAATGCTAGCTCAAAAGTCACTATAGAAGAAGCCACAAGAGTCCCTAGATATTATATCATATTTTATATTTTATATTTGATCTCTAATATTAAAGAGCAAAAATTTCTTTTTCCAAAATTTTCGGCATTCACTCTCTTCCGGGTTCGTCATCCCCTCCACTCACTCAAGCATAAGAGTCATGTCGGCCGGTTTTATTAAAAATAGTAGTACATGACAAATTAGAGATAAGAATCCTAATATAATTAGTTTGTTGTCTAGTTCATGACCTAAACACATTGCCACCACACCTCACTCTCTCCCATCCTCATCTCACTCTTGCCGTCCACACACCTCCAATCTAAAGGCATCACAATCCAAATCCAACACGAGAGTACAAGAACATGGTTTGAACAATGGACATATTTCTAGCCACGGTATGAAGTTCGATTCCAAAATGTATTATAACAGATGACGTAATCGTCGCATAAACCTCTGAGCCGCGCAAGTCATCCAGGTGAACATATAATAAGTTATATGCTATGTTGCAATGCACGAGCATATTTACTAGTAATAATAAAAAAAGCTAGTTAACCATGGTATATGCAGAGGAGGCCTTCATGCTGTTTATATTTGTAATATAGCATTTCTCCTTGTTTAGTAGGGTTTTGTTGCAAACTACTTCACCTAATAAGCCAGAGAAACCAGAGAAAGCCACGTTTGTGTGCTCGTGCCCTTCTAGTACCACTACCACCAAAAAAAAGTTTCTCTCCTCTTCAGTTTCTCTCAAAGACCCGTATCATGAGCACGAGCATGCATTTGGCATTGCTTCGTCCAAGAAAACAGAGAAATCAGAGCTGAAGCTGCTCAGAAAATTCTGCAAAAACGATTTTTTTAGAATAAACTGTGGACTAAAAAGATTCCTTTTCTGAATAATAGACATACATACATCTCGATCGATCGCATATAGATGTCTGTTGCCAACGATGAGAGTGGATGGCGCCACGGGTCACATCTTTACTTGGATGGAGCCAGCTAAACGATGAACTAGTAGACTAGCTAGTAGCGTGGTCACAACTACAAGTAGCATCTGAGGTTCTGGTTAGCCGGACGGCCAGCCGGATCGAAGGATTATTGATGCTAGTACCAAATATAGATATATACATAACGTGTACAAATCGTCTCATAATTTGGACGGGATATATAAGGTTGGGGTGATAATGTTGCGCGCGTATGGGTCGTCGTTCTACGGCTAGCTAGGAGCTAGCTACTCATCGATCTTTCTCACTTTCCAAAAAACAAAGGTATTTCTCAGACATCAAACTTGACTTGACACGGGACTATCAACATGGGATCTCCTAACAATGCGCTGTCACAAACATCATTTACTATATTTGTATCAGAACATTTTTCCCTGTAATTAAGATTTTATATCACATAAGTGACATATTTGTGTGTGTGTGTGTGTGGGGTGGGGGGTGTTAACACTGCCCCCTGAACTCACTACCGGACTCCCTGAGTTTGCCGAGTGCCCGAAACACTCGGCAAAAGACATAAAACACTCGACAAATGGTTCGCCGAGTGTAACACTCGGCGAACAGCACTCGCCAAAAAAAGTGACGGCAAAGCCAACTTTGTCGAGTGTTTTTTATCGGGCACTCGGCAAAGCCTTTGCCGAGTGCCCGACACTCGGCAAAGCCTTTGCCGAGTGCCCGACACTCGGCAAAGTTGGAACCGATAAAAACCTGAATAAATAGGAATTTTTACCAAAACAAATAGAATTTTTTTTTATTGGAGGAGGCCCCCACTGGCCAGCGCCCGCGCCCATCTCCACAATTTTTTGTGTCAAATCACGGCAACGCGGCCGAAGGGAATCGAACCCGCGACCTCCCCCTGCCGGCAAACCTCCTCTACCACTACACCACGCTTTCATTTGTGTTTGGATTTCGTTTTAGTTCCTAATATATTATATTAAACCGAATGTAAATTGCTTGTTTGAGGCCCTAAACGAATTCAAATAAAAAAGTTGTAAACTACAAAGTTTCATAACTTTTTGAGATCTACACTTTTAGTTTAGGAAGTTTTTCCATCCGAGGTCGTTTACAAAATTTGAATTTTAAAATTTTGAAATTCAAATGCAGTTTTGCATGACAAGATGATTTCAAATCAAAAAGTTACCAACTACAATGTTTCATAACTTTTCGAGATCTACAAAGTTTATTTTGGTTGTTTTTTCATCCGAGGTCGTTTGAAAAATTCAAATTTTAAAATTTTAAAATTCAAACACAGTTTTGCATGACAAGATGATTTCAAATCAAAAAGTTGTCAACTACAATGTTTCATAACTTTTCGAGATCTACAAAGTTTATTTTGGTTGTTTTTCCATCCGAGGTCGTTTGAAAAGTTCAAATTTTAAAATTTTGAAATTTAAACACAGTTTTGCATGACAAGATGATTTCAAATAAAAAAGTTGCCAATTACAAAGTTTCATAACTTTTCGAGATCTACAAAGTTTATTTTGGTTGTTTGGTCATCTGTTCATCCGACATGGTCGTTCTAACATTGTTCATAAATCTTATATATCTCTCTTGTAGTTTCATAAACTACCAGAGAGATATGTTAGATTTGTGAACAAATTTACTTTCACTTTTTCATATGAAGAAAAGACCAAAACAAGCATTGTACATCTTGATGAGTTATACAACTTTGTAGTTGAAAACTTTTTCATTTGAATTAATTTACTGCTTCAAAATGTGCTTTGAAATTTTATTTGCCGAGTGTAAAAAAAAAACACTCCGCAAACAAGCTTGTTTGCCGAGTGTAAAAAAAACACTCGGCAAAGAGCTTCTTTGCCGAGTATAAAAAAAAACACTCGGCAAAGAGCTTGTTTGCCGAGTGTCAAAAAAAACACTCGGTAAAGAGCTTGTTTGCCGAGTGTCAAAAAAAAAACACTCGACAAAGACGTCTTTGCCGAGTGCCCGAAAAACAACACTCGGCAAACTACTTGACACTCGGCAAAGAGCCGGTCTCCGGTAGTGACTTGTTCCTAGTAAGTCAATCAAGGTCAAAAACTGGCAATATGCAGGAGCACATGTATATAAAAGTGGTTACATTGTATTTGTATTTAAAATAATTGTAATGATTGAATTTCACCGTATTTGTATTTCTAATAATTTTCACTAAGGCATTGTTTAGATTGGGGTTAGGAATCAGTATTTGGCATTGTAGCACTTTCGTTTGTATTTGACAATTATTGTCCAATCATGGCCTAACTAGGCTCAAAAGATTCGTCTCGTAATTTACAATCAAACTGTGTAATTAGTTATTTTTTTATCTACATTTAATACTTCATGTATGTGTCAAAGATTTGATGTGATGAAGAGAAAGTGAAAAAACTTGCAATCTAAACGAGGCCTAAGTTTGTTTTGAGACGGAGGGGAGTAGCATTTCATGGTCGTGGCCCTCTATGTCTATCTGCAGCCTTTTCTGAATAAACTACCGACTAAAAAGATGCCTTATTCTTGGTGCAATCACCAGGTTCTGGCTATATAAAAGGCCACCTGGGCAACGAAACCCAGCTATGATCAATCAATTCAGTAGCAAGCTAGCTAGCCAGCCAGGGGAAGCGTTGCGCGTTGTGATATGGCTCACGCTCATGGCCACTATGAGGAGCTGCTGCCGGCGAAGTCTCCTCCACAGCTGGCCCTAGTGCTCTCTGTCCTGCTTGTCTGTCCTCTTCTCGTCCTCCTCGTGCGCCGCCTCTTTGGAACGACGGCGCTGTCGACGGCCACCGCAAGAGCCAGAGAACAGCTGCTGAGCAAGCTGCCTTCGCCTCCAAGCAGGCTCCCCATCATCGGCCACCTGCACCTCGTCGGACCCCTACCGCACATCTCTCTCCGTGACCTCTCTGCCAAGCATGGCCGTGATGGCCTCATGCTCCTCCACCTCGGTGCCGTCCCTACGCTCATCGTCTCCTCGCCGAGCGCCGCGCAGGCCGTGCTCCGCACACAAGACCACATCTTCGCGTCCAGGGCCTACTCCCCCGTCACCGACATCCTCTTCTATGGCTCCACGGACGTCGCCTTCTCCCCGTATTGTGAGCACTGGCGCCAGGTCAAGAAGATTGCCACCACGCACCTCCTCACCAACAAGAAGGTCCGGTCCTACCGCCATGCACGCGAGCATGAGGTAATAACCAAGCGTCAATTTGAGCAATCACTATGATATATTGTTCAATAGACGAAGATATGATTGCCTGAAAATAATTCACAACAGGCGAGGTTGGTGGTGGCTAAGATCCGCGAGGAGGCCACCGCAGGCACCGCTGTCGACCTAAGTGAACTGCTCAACTCCTTCGCCAACGACATCGTGTGTCACGCTGTGTCTGGCAAGTTCTTCAGACAGGAAGGCCGGAATAAACTTTTCCGGGAGCTCGTCGAGGCCAACTCGTCTCTCATTGGGGGATTCAACATAGAGGACTACTTCCCAGTGCTGGTGAAGCTAGACATCATCAAGAGGATGGTGTGTGCAAAGGCACAAAAGGTGAACAAGATGTGGGACGACTTGCTCAATACGCTCATCGATGACCATGCAAGCAGGCCAGCGTCAGAACGTGACGGGGAGGAGAGTGACTTCATCGATGTCTTGCTCTCCCTTCAACAAGAGTACAACCTCACGAGAGATCATATTAAGGCGCAGCTGGTGGTATATAATAACGTGACCTCACCCACAACTACCGCCAACACATATACATATATGCTGCTGATTCTTATATATATGTATCCATTTGTATGTAGGTCATGTTTGAAGCTGGCACAGATACATCATTCATAGTGCTTGAATATGTGATGGCTCAGCTCATGCAAAACCCCTGCCTCATGAACAAGCTACAAGCAGAGGTGAGAAGCACTATAGCGAAGGGAAAAGAGATAGTAACTGAAGACGAGCTTAACAGTTTAGTCTACCTAAAGGCAGTCATCAAAGAGACACTCCGACTCCATATGCCAGCGCCGCTTCTTGTGCCCCACCTCTCCATGGCCGATTGCAACATAGAAGGATACACGGTACCATCGGGAACACGTGCCATTGTTAATAGCTGGGCTCTTGCAAGGGATCCTAGCTATTGGGAGAAAGCGGAAGAGTTCATGCCTGAGCGGTTCATGGAAGGAGGTAGCGCCGCAGCTATGGACAATAAAGGAAACGATTTCCAATACTTGCCATTTGGGGCAGGGCGAAGGATATGCCCGGGTATAAACTTTGCAAGTTCAACTATCGAAGTCATGCTCGCAAACCTTGTCTACCACTTCAATTGGGAGCTACCTGTGGAATTAGCGAAGAAAGGCATCGATATGACTGAATCATTTGGGGTGACAGTGCATCGTACAGAGAAACTCTTCCTTGTCCCTATAGTTGCACAAGATTAATGCATTAGTCTGTAGAGTTGGGCATGTACGCAATAGATAAAGGACTCAGATGTGCACTACCTATTGTAATTGCATCATACTTGTGGGTTTTGGACTTGTTGTCAAGCACGCATATATACTAAATAAAGAAAGAATGCATTGCATCCTTTCACCATGCATCAAACTGTTATCATATTTGTGACGCACGATTAACTAACAAAGTTCTAGAATAGTCAGAGCGGTGAATATGGGAACCAAAAATTCTTCACACGGAAGAATTAAGGCATATGTCCCAAGTTGACCCAAGGGCTTCTATTTTAACAATCACCAAGATCACGTAGTTACAAGTAGTCTTAATAACTAACCTAGGAACGAAACTAAGTGAAAAACACACATGAAATAAAAACGCGAGAGAACAATCAAAAGCACCAAAAGGTCATATCATGTCCGACTTCTAAGTTGAGTTCAGCCATTTTTCCTATGTAAAATTTGGAACTTCTGGCCTGAACGCCTTTGAAAGAATTTAGGAGTAAGTTTATCTTGGAGAAATCAAAACATCAGGACTTCTTTCAAAAACTTTCAAAATCAGCACAGAGAAACAGCTTGAAAGATTTGGGAGAGGTAAAAATACAATGAAATGACCTCCAAATCAGGTGAAACTTCAGCCATAGCTGGCACATACATGGTGAATGGTGAGTGTCTTCACAACAATATCCTCAAAAAGATTGATCCTTCACCATGAATTTGTAAGAAAACCCTCAAGAAAAGGAGGAATTTGAGAAGATCTTCATGTCGGAGATTATCATAAGGTCACCATGCTGAGTCACCCACGGCCTTCTGATCGACACCATATTAATAAAAGTGGCAGTCTGAGCAAAAGCCCATCACCTTTAAATGTGTCACAGCTGACTGGCGGTACCAAAATCTGCCAGAAAGTGGTTGTTATTCATTTCTGCTTTTTAGTCAGTTGTGATTTGCATGTATCTCTGTCCATCACCAATGATCCCAGCACTTGTAGAAAGAAATAGTCTTACTTTATCTGGCAAGTTGTAATTGATTCCACTAGGCAAAGAAAAGATTGGTGCATATATATGGCAGGTAGCCTGCAGTTGCCAATCCGCAACAGCCCTTGGAGAGTCCACGTGGATCCAACGGCATTTTTTTTAGATAAAGGATAAAATATCCGGCTTCATCTATCAAGGATAGAATCAGACCAATTATTACAGACTCCAAATCTGGGCACAAAGTTCGGTTGAAGTAAAACTTACAACCACACACACGACTAACGGAACAGGGAAATTTTTTTGATTAAACAAAACCAACATACCTTTGTGAAAGCCAACCATTGGATCCAAAGAAATCTAAAGCCGACGTCTCTAGGTGTTGTGCCACAGAGATCATTTGATCTTTAAGATCTTCATGCCGCTGTAAGTTTGCCCAATGACGAAGCCAGTGCGTTCCTCGGAATAGTACCTTTATCAAGCGTAGACTCCAGGTTCTTCTTCGCTTTATGCTTAGCTGCCTTCTCTGTGGAATCCTGATCCATAGTTGAGGCATTCCTCTTGCTGGATCTCACCGGTGAAGCTGTCGCACTGTTGAATTTATTGTTCAGATTCCCAGAGTCGATCTGAGGTGGCAACATAGTAGCTTTCCAAGCATCCCCTCCAGACTGAGAAAGTAAAGCTCTTGGTTTCTTACTTGGCTTCACAGGCTTGCTCTAGGTGATGGTAGACTCCCCTATTTCCTCCAGCTGTGCCGCCCCATTGGGGCCGCTGTGCTGGCCAACCATAGGTGGCAGGTCACCATTGCCATTGCCGGGTGCCTCAGCATCTCCTATTTTTTCATCCACATCCATTTTTTCCTTAGAGTTTCCCCCTTTGGGATTTTCCTCTTTTGGATCTCCTTCCTTGGGATTCTCCTCCTTAGGGTCACCCTCTTTGGTAGAGTCCATGTCAATGAGCTGTGGCTCACCATTGAGGGTGTCGTCTTCAACTGCAAACTGTAGCTCGTAAACATAGTCCCCAATAACCACATCCACAAAATCTGGGATAAGATTTGGGTCTAGCACTGCTACTTTCATCCTTGCCCTGCCAGTGTTCTTAGTAAAGATAGTGTCAATAGCCTGAGGGACACCCAAGATAGTTCCAACCGCCCATATAATGGGAAACTTTTTGAACTCTTGAGGTAGTCCTCTGAACTGCACCTATACTTTCTCAATTTCACGTTTATAAACCTCATTGTCAGTTCCTTTTCCAAAGCGAATCCTTCAACTGCCTTAGCATCCATAGGGCCCCTGTTAACCACTATTTCCAATAGGGCAGCCGAGGGAAAATTAATAATAAAAGCATTAGTGCCTTTTGTCTCAATTTCCCATTTATGTTTCTTGTCAGGTAGTAGTTTTTCCAGTTCCACTGTCAATTGATCGACAGTAAAAGAACCTTCCAAAACATGTACCATAGCTTTCTTTTCCTGAACATTTACTTTTGCATTTCAACCACTGGAATAAAATAGAAACCTAGGCCTTCCACAGCATAACCACAAGGAATAGCACTTGTATTTGTTTTTTTCCTATTCGGGCACAATTTAGTCGTATGATCTCCATAACAAATCTCACAACAAAGGACAACAGTGCACTCATGAATTGTATGACCTTTAGTACGACAGCGATAGGAATTTGGCTTGCCTTTATTTTTTTGTGCCCCTTTCTCAGACGACTCTTGGATTTCTAACATATTACCTTTCGGCTCTGAAGTCGATGGGACAGCCTCCTTGGGTTGCTCTGGAGCCTTCATTGGCGCTGAATCCATCACCATCGCGGTGGCTTGCTGACTTGCTGCTGGAGCGCCCCCTCCATGCACTGTACCAGCCTCCACCAGAGGAGGCGGGTGTGCAGCAGAGGATGCGCCGACTGTGCCACCCCCTTGGTGACCAGCATCTGGTCCGGCATGGAATGCCGGCTGCTGGTGGCCATGGTAAGCCACCACACCTCCTTGCTGTGGAAGAGCGCCCCCGATGAGCGCCTGCTGGGCTGGCTGGCCGGCCTGCCCCATGGCCAGTGCTGCGTGTTGGCCGGCTATGACGGGATGGTTTGCAAGCTCGGTCTCCGGGTGGAAACGCTGCCCGCCAAAACCCCAACCACGCCCGCGGCCAGCATACCTTCCTCCGTAAGGGCGACGTCCACGTCCAGGGCATGGTACTCATAGCCACGGTCGTTGTAGCCCCCGTACGGGGCATAACCTCCACGTCCGCCACAACCACCTCCATATCCATAACCGTGAGCACGACCTCGCTGGTGACCACCGAAGCCACAGCCACGTCCACCAAATCCCGGATTAAAACACGGGTTGAAGCCTAGATTGTATCCCTCGCCACCTCTGCCCCCACCGCGCCCGTCAAACCCTCCTCCATTGCCTCCCCTTGCGACGCCATTGGCTTGCCCACACGAACAACTTCGGCAAAGGAGAGCCGAAGTATTGTTTCACGAGATGGCGGGGGTACACGAGGACGGCGCCTGGTTCCAGTACGGGAAAACAGGGCGCACAAACCCTTAGTGGCCCGAAAGAATTTTCCTGGGCCGATTTGGATTCGATCCGGATATCCAGGGATAGCCTTATGACTCCGTTCCACCTCCCCTACCGTGCGTGTAAGCGACGACGGCGCTGCCCCAGGGGGCGGAGAGAAAGTAGGATTGGTTCCCTGTGAATCCGGGTTTCCAAATATTTTTGAACTTTCTAATTTTGACGTGTTTGAGCCCCCCGAAATATCTCCTTTGCCACACACGAGAGG